AAACGCTCTCTATACAGACTGTTTCACTCTACTGATTATATTAATAAACTATTTACTCCTAGAACGAATCAATCACTAATCTACTACAGCACCTAAAAGACGCACTTCAACACCCTTAGCAATCTAAAAACTATAAATAAACTAGCAGCATGGATGCATAAAGACTTAGTACGGAACATACAGGATTAGTTTACCCTTAGAAATAGGACGTGTCACTCTATTGTAACCTTCAAACGCTTGCTATATAAACTGTTTTGTCCCAATGACTATCCCTACCAGAACCCATCACTTATTTCTAAAACGCATCAGTCATTAGAACACTAAAACGCTCAGACTCATTAATACACATTATGACACTAAATAAACTCTAAGACTTCGCATAAATACGTGAAAACACAACTACAATATAGGTAAATGTTTACTAAAGTATAATATACAATTACATAAACATTTATAATGCATAAAATATTAATGTCCTTTTCATGTTCACATACTTTCTCTTTCTGGTATTCTGCTGCTCCTATTCATCTTCTGGTCGAGGTCGAAAAACCCTGCATCTAAACTGAAATGAGGATTAATTCCAAACCGTCTATCTCATAACCACTCAAATTCCATGAACGATCCAATTCTACCATTTGAAGACGCTGGCGAACATGCTGTAAATGAGTATTCATGATCTGAAATGAAGAAGCAACTGGTTTTCAAACAGTTTTCAACATTTTACTGAACTTACGAATACAGTCCGCCATGCAGACACAAATGGAGCAAATGGAGAATTCTGGAATCGACCTCGGCACCACTTGATGCAGTAAAATAATTTAATATGACTGTCAATGTAGTTGAAGATTGAACGATCAATTCATGGTTGTTTGCTCAAAATTAACTTCCCCAATTTTCGCGGAGGCATCAGTACCACAGTCATCGTCTCATCGGTCGCTGTTCAGAAAGAAGAGCAAAACACCGTCAGAAGTAATATTGTGATTAATTATTGTAATATTTGTTCACAGACTTTAATCATACGTGATTTATATTTTGGTGTAACAATAAAGAATCCTCGAGTCAACAATTGGTGTTTTGGTTTTGCGTCCGTTATTACTAAGCGTTTCTGAGAAACTTCAAGGAACAGCGTGGGCCCGAGCGTAGCAAGAGCTGGGCATTAACGGTTTACGAGACGTGGCTGACAGTTTCTGACGGTGAAACAGTTGGTGACAGTTTGGATAGTCACCGTTCATTTTTCCTAGTGCCGATCAAGTCCTCGTTGAATAAGCAATATCTGGAACGTTTTTGGAATTGGGTCAAGTTCAACAATGCCTGGGTCAAAGAAGGGACAGAGTGTCTTGGATGCAAACAGGAAAGTAAGTCGTGGTGACTTGTCTGGTAATTGTAACGATGTGTCTGATGTTAAGCATGACATGGTTGATGTTACTGTTTCGCCGTTCAGGGATAATAGGAACATCAAACTCCCTAAATTTGAACCACGGTGTTTCGATGGAAACCCGGGTGATTATTTACAATTTGTAAAGGAGTTTGAGATCATGTTGAGTAGTTTTCTATTAGGTGATGAATTGAAGTTAATGTATTTGATGAGGTATTGCACTGGAGGTGCTTCAAGAGCTCTACAGTGTTGTAAGTTTATGAAGCCAAAAGATGGCTACGATGAGGCTATGAGCATACTACGTCAAAGGTTTGGAAGACCTTCAATGATTGTAAGGAACGTATTCGAAGCTGTCAAAGGTGACGGCAGTCAACTTCATGATGACTCCAAGGCACTTACTGAGTTTCTAGATAATCTTATGACTTATAAGAATACCTTGATTTCGATGAATTGCATGAATGACCTCAACTCGAGTTTTATGCTAGAAGTAATAGCAAGACGCCTACCTACTCGACTGAAAAGGAAGTGGGTGAAGATAAGCTCCCGTATGGAGGATGAGGGTATCGAGCCAAAGTTTGATGATATCCTGAAACTAGTAAAAGATAGTGTCAATCTATCTATGAGCAAGTTTGCCAGTATATTGAATCTCACCCCTAGAATAGAGCAGTCTGAGGGTAAAATGCAATCATTGATGACGAATAGGCCTCAGAGAGGTGGATATCGAGAAGGCTCCATGATGTCCAGTAATGCATATAGACTTAGTGAGTGTAACAGGTTTCGTAGTACATCCTCAACAGATAAGTTACAAGCTGCAAGACAAACACGGTTGTGTTTTACACGTTTCCAAGAAGTGCATACAAATGTGAACTGTGAATCAATGAGCAAGTTCGGTGATAAGCTAAATGGGAAATCAAGGTCTGACGGCGTGGTGAAGAAGCCTGTAGCTGCAATTAGTAAGCCATTGTTGGATAGAATGCCACAGAAGAGAGTTACATTTTCAGAGTCCAGTTCTGACCCCATACGTTTACAGGGTATTACTAGTCAGAGTGAAGGTATAAAACCTTTGGGGATTTGTGAGGAAGAACCCAAATCATCCACTGATGTTATTAAAGAGTTTGAAAATGATGAAGTCGACCAGATAGATGACGGTAAATTGAATATTTGTGATAATGATCATGATAGTGCAGATTTGTGTTTGGTTGATCATGATGAAATGAGGGGAATGCCTACTACTGCTAAGTTGAGCAAATGTTCTGTACAACTTGAACGTGAAGTAGAATTAAATGCAGACGCAGTTGCAGAAGGTATGGATACTTGTGAGACCGTCAGTGTAATTGATCAGCGTGTAGCCCACCTATCATCAGATGATAGTGCTAAACCCGAATTAATAGTAAAAGACAGCAGTGGTGGTGGTCTTGCAGTTAGACAGCTATCTGAAAGCCGAACAATAACAGCTGCTGATCCACCGCTAAGTCCATCAACTGGTATCAATCAGTTGTCGTTGGTGTTGTCATCCACAATGAGGAGGACTCTTATCAACTCAAGTATCTTGCGCAATGACTATGATAGCTTTTTATGAATTTGTTTCGACTTATTCTATTCCTATTCTCTATAGGGACGGTTGTGCACGAAATGCACAAAAAGGCATAAAACAAAAAAAACCGGCATGAGGAAGAAATGTATAAAAACCAAAAGTGGACATCATGATAGTGCAAACTGTACTGGTCCCACACGCCGGGGAGCGGGAGTGTAGACGACTGAGGCTCGCATACGTCACCGTTACTAGAACTGAGGCAGAATGAGTGACAAGCGATCGCAGTAATAATTGGTAGTGAGTAGATAAGAGGATGTGCGAAGAGTATCATGAGGTGCTGCTATGGTCATGTTGCATTCTGCAAGAGTCATTCTAGCAAGTGGCGATTGTGTTGCAAGATGTCAAGAGGATGCCTTTAACTGGAAGGCGCAGGTCGTCATTGATGTGTGAGATTGTGCTGTGGGTATGCTTGTGGTGTGTTGGCTTTTCTGTTTGTTTTCCATTTCAGCTTTGTCCGTGTGACCCAGGTTTTCGCAATGGCTTCCAAGTCAACGCGTATTGGTCGTGATGGAAAAAAGGGATGGATCCTTTTTGCCGGGGAGTGTCAATGTAGTTGAAGACTGAACGATCAATTCATGGTTGTTTGCTCAAACCCAACTTCCCCAATTTTCGCGGAGACATCGATACACCAGTCATCGTCTCATCGGTCGCTGTTCAGAAAGAAGTCAGGAGACAACTGTCAGAAACCTTAGTTGTAAAGCTTAGTTGCACATTGGCTATATGTTGATGTTAGAATAAAGAATTCTCGAGTAGCCAATCGGTGTTTTGATTTTGCTTTCGTTATTACTAAGCGTTTCTGAGAAACATCAAGGAACATCGTGAGTCCCAGTGTAGGAAGAGCTGGGCATTAACGGTTTGCGAGACGTGGCTAACACTGTTGGTTTCATATTCGTATAGTTTTTAAGAAAATTTTCCGTCTTCTTTATCACATAACGAGTTTGACGCACTCAGGTATAACTCAATCTCTCCTCGTACAATTTATTCATCCATGTGTTTTGCCGATCATTCTTTTTTGTTCTCCATTATTCTTCCCTGCGCTACTCAACAAAGACCATATAATACTACGAAGAACATTGCGGGCTCTAAGTAGGGTCAGTGCTATCCCTTTGACTGTACTAAATGACACTGTTGTCAATAGGCATATGAATTCTTGTAAACACTTAGCCAAAGTTATCTTATCTGATAGTGAACATCCTCTTTTTTCACAATTGTTTCCTTGTATCTCTTCGGGTAAGACCAGAAGAAATTTCATAAACATTTATGCTCGTACTACAAAATATAAAAATTCGGTCGTACCATATTTGGCACGAGTATTGTGTGAAGAGACAAATATCATAAAAGAACTTTTACAACTTTTAAATCATTAACTGAACTATAAAATGTAATGGTGTATATTAATGCATGTGTTATTTGTTATATTATCTATTTATTATTCACTATGACCTAGCAATGGTGTGATTTTGTTGGGTTTTATTTTTTCCTATTAACTATCAATATTTTAACATTTTATACATTTATATAATTATATACAGAGCTAAACCATTACAATATGTAAAAGAAACGCTGAAAATTCCATGCTGTAAATTGTTATTGTTGTAGAATAAAGTGATTGTATTATTAAAAATTATTATTATGTTGGGCTTACACTAGAACCACCGCCGGTGAGTTCACCACTGTATAAACTGAACCCGAGTGGTCTGCACTTGAAACTGCATCCAGTTGCACAAGTCTTGTACGTAAAATGGCTCAAGTGTCCTAGGAAGTTTGAGAAGGGTATCTACACGTAAAAACGCTACCGTGAATAAGTTATTATATCAGGAAGGACCAAAAGGACTGAATCGCTTCTTCCCTTCTATCCAAAGGCAGAGAAGATGTTATCAATGAAGTCAGAATTTTAAGAAGTTATAGTGGGATCGATTTCCCTCTTCTTTATACTAGGTCACGGCTTATTGAAGGATGGGGGAAGAAGATTCAGAATTCAAGGTGAACTGTTCCCCTGGGGAGTACTGGTTCACTCACTAAGTCAACTACCATTAGTTCTAAATATTAAAAATTGTGTCCACATTTTCAGTCAAATCGTTAAAAAGACAAACAAGTGAGTACAAACGCTTGATTTTAGATAATTAACACAGAATTCAAGGTAACCATCCTCAATCGAAAATTCGGAGGCCTGAAAGTCTTGTTTTAATGCATTAAGTAATAATACACTTGATTCGATGGAGCTATTTTGAAACTTGTGCCTTTAGTTGGGTTTTCGTTGTTGGAGTAATGTCCATCCCAGGAATAGGAGAAATTACTTCTGATACGTCGTTTCTAACAAAAGTGGTGGATGAATACGTAGTTGGATCTTCGTGGACTCAGGAATATTCAAAAAATGATGTTAAAATCTGGTCTAAGTGCTCAGACAATAACGGGATCAAAGCTTTTAAAGCCTCTGCGCTTTTCAAAGGTGTATCTGGACCTGCATTATTTGATTGTCTTATGGACTCACAATATCGAAAGCAATGGGACAAGGCTATGATTGAGGGTTATGAACTGTGTCAAGTGAACAGCCAGAGTGATATAGGATATTATTCCCGTAAGCTGGTGTTAAAAGTGACTGGCCTTTTCCACTTTCAGTTCGTTCTCCCCCTGGTTTAAGAAACAGAGACTTCGTTCTTCAGAGGACATGGACAAAATTCGAAAATGAATATGTGATAGCATCCCATTCTGTGTTTCACAAAGTAAGTCGTCTGTGTGAATGGTTTAACTTTCTTGATATCAAAATGTTCTTCACTATCTCGGACTTTTATGTAACCTTCGCATAGTTACAGCAGTATGGCATGAAATAAGGGAAATGATTGTCCTTTTAGCCCAGGAAAACCTTGGGTGTACTGCAGAGACACAGGGCAAGAAAGACACTAAATGATGTTGGACAAAGATAGGGATCCAGGACTTATTTGTTATAATATCAAATTTCCTAAAGTGCCCTAGTTTTGCCCAAAGTGTCGACTACCAGCCAGTAGTTGGTTCAGTCTCGAATCTGGTCAATTAGTAATTCTGCGTATCTTTTTAAATCTGTGCAGTTCGTGTATGCTCCAAGTAAAAGTTTAAGAAGGGGCGCACCTAGATTAAAATAAGTAGGTTGGTTGGAGAATTTAGAGTTAGATAAGAAAACATCTAATGATCAAAATTTACAAATGTGGAAATATATATTTGTCACTTTCATAGGCTGCTAGCAATGTTGTTCTATCAGTGGTTTCACTTAAATTAACCTTGACTGGGTGATATTTTCATGATCAGGTTCCCTGGAACATCTTTTATTGGTTTCATCATCTGGGTTGATCTCTTCACAAATAGACACCTAGTTATTTGATGTAATGTACTGAGGTCTCTTTCGCCTGCAACCTGTCTGTCTCTTCTGTTTCATTTACCAGACAATGTGTCGTAGAATTATCTTTTGTCCTTCCTAGCACCTTCTTTCTCATGTCTCTTCTTTCATCCTAGAACAGTTGTACACGTTTCCTTGGAAGTCACATTCAGAGAGTTCCAGTGTTCTTCCACACAGGTTTCCTAATTGATGCTACGTAGTATCCGACTTTACTGTGATATGATCTGTAATGAAGGCATCCCTTGTAGTTTTGTCCTTCATTTTCTGAATGTTAAACTTGAATTGCAGTGGTCTGTCTCCATTTCTTTCATGGATTTCGGCTTCACCTAGAAGGTTCCTTCAACTAGATGATGGTCTGAGCCCGCCAACATCCGCCCCCTTCTCGACTTTGTATCCAGCAGACTGACTGCACATCCACTTCTTTGAGCAGTATTGAGATGAACTTTGTTTTATGGTATGTCCGTCAGGCGAAATCCATGTTGCTTTGCGTGTATCCTTGTGTTTGTGCACGCTGGCTGCCTGCGTTGATCAATTCGTTGAAAGCGCAGAAGTTTGTGAATAATTCCCCGTCCTCATTCATTGCTCCGAGGCAGAGCCTCTCGACCCATGATGAGTTCTCTTCCTGTATTATTTGCTTCCAGTTTAGCTGCTATTCATATCGCCCATGAGGACTTTAATGTCACCATTTGGGATGTTGTCCACTACTGTTTCTAGTTGTCTGTAAAAATCCTCCTTCTCTTGTTCCGCGTTGTTTGTAGCATTGTGCGTAGCATACGATAATTGTGATCTTCCCTCTTTCCTTTTGAGCTGAATGTTGCTGCCATGATCCTGGAGGAGGAGGTTGATTCCCACTGCATTAAGGCTTTGGCTGCCACTGGTTACATCTTGATAGCCACTCACTGTCTCAGTGTGCTCTTGGCTGTCGTTTGGGTGACCAGACCGGAGTAGATTACTTACTCTGCAGTTGACAGTGTTGTCGGTCCACATTCATTTCATCTGCTCTCGTAGTTACCCAGCACTTCTATGCCATATCTTCCCATTTCGTTGACTACATGGACAGCTTTCCCAGCAGTCTCGACGTCCCCATTCTTACTGTCGCTTTCATCGAGAGAAGACATCGATTGACTGGCTTATTGAAGGCTGGCTTTCACCAGCCAGCACGCTGTCATTTCACCTCTCCCCTTTGAGCGAAGAATAAGATTGTTGTCATTTGAATTTTTTGTATTTTTAACACATTATTGTGCGTTGAAGTTTCTGCTGCAGGTTGATAGCTTTTGTGGTGTGCGGTTGCTAGCCCCACGCCCAACCCACCTTTACCCGTACTTGGGACCGGGTAGGAAACTAGCCAGCTAGTTAACTAGGCGAGGTTAAATTTAGTTTAGTTCTCATGAAAACACTTGAGATTATAGTAATTGAAGGAAAGATAAAATATTTGAGCAGAAATATAGCCAAAACATGCACAACTGAACCGTTTGTAAAAGATATCAAGTCAGATTCTGTAAACATCCTCTCCGTCTGTCTGTCTGTCTGTCTGTCTGTCTGTCTGGATTCAACATAGAACTTGGCACCGAAGTGCACCAGTTCGAGTTGCCACGTTCCAAATACCACACAGAGGTAGACAAGAAGATGAGTGAAGAGAATCAATAGAGTCTGACAAGTATAAGAGTGAAACAGAATGGGTAATGGTAGAAAGGAATATGAAAGATTACAGAGACTGAATACATCTGCGCTGGCCATTGACAACGATTTTGAGCCATATCACCTATTGTCTCCAGCCATTGATTCCTAGAGTCCCGAGGGCCCCAACCCGGAAGTCTGCATCTCCCTCCCTACCTGACTCAGTTTAACTGTCAAGGATTTCATGGATTGATGAGGCCATGTTTTTGTTTGGCCACCATTTACCCTTTTCCAACCTGCACCAACCTGCATCCTCTCCGTACACAACTCTCTCTCTCTCTCGTTGTATCTCATCGAATAGAACTAGAAGCAACTGTAGAAGGCTGTATGCTCAGACAATTAAGTACAAAAACTCTACAATACCTTATTTGCTAAGCACATATTTTATGTGATGAGAAAAGTGTGTGTGTAAGACAGGAAATTACCAACTTATCGAGGAACTCGAAATAAAAAAGGATTTTTTCGTTCCCATTAATACATTGTGGCAAATTTCTTTCATTTAATTTTACTTCTTATAGAGCAGTATTATTGATGTAAATACCCTATTTTAATTATTGCCCCTGTAATGAGAAAATTAGATGCAATATTATTGTATTATGTGCTGAAAATTTCATATTGGTACCTAAAGTACTGTTTGGTGGTCAGTCGTTGGTTTCAAAAAAGCCTGTAATGAAAATCAATCAGTTTAGAGCTAAGTTTATCATTACTCATTAGTCCTGTGTTGGTCTACCTATCTATGTACGCCACTCATAACATGGCTAAGTGAATTTTCTTGGCTTAACTTAGTGTTTTATAAAGTGAGAAGCTTACTAACCTGTTAGCAACACTCATTGTGTGTTACAGGTAAGCATACCAACCAGTTTTCCCAGACTGACGTAGGTCGAGCGGGATCCCAACCTCTGGGACTCTGCTACTTAAAAGTGAGCCATTCAATCATAGTATTCCTCTCCGCAGACATGCTGGATTACGCTGAAAGACTTATGCATGTGACAGAGCAACAGCAACGCTGGGCACTGATTCTCTAAGGAAAATTCATTCAATAGTGTCTAACAGTTAGTTAAGCGTTAAGGCAGTGCGTTTCAACTCCACAATACTATTTGTTTATTATTGTTATTCCCTTGATTCCGACAAGGAACATATACAGAGAGAGCTTCAGCAGCACAGTGTTATTTCAATCTCTTCTGTGCACTGCTTCTTTTTACCTGGATCCGTCATTACCCGCAGACTTTCATTTCCTCTTCTTACATGATCTCCTCCATGCTGTCACCCTTCGGTCTGCATAACCTGAATGTCTGTCTCCCTAGCATATGTCCAATCCATCTCTATTTCCGTTTTCGTATATTTGTTGAGCATTAAGTCCATGGTGTGTTCATTCCACACAAGGAGTTGCTTGTTACTTATCTTCTCTATATATTAAAATATTCCCATAGTAAAATTTGGAACAAATTTAAGTGAACAATGTCGTGCTTTCAATTAGATCTCATCAGGCTTGACTCTAATATATATAAGTTTTGTCTATAGGATAATAAAATGGTAAATATAAGTTGTGCAATTAGTCATAATAGTAGTAATGATAATAATAATGGTCTTATCAATAATAAGTATGGAAAAGTGAGGCTATCTGTGATAACACGAATAATGGAAAACAGCATGATTAAACAAACAAATGTTCAGGTAGAAGTACTCGATAAAGGCTAGTAAAACAAATGAACCGATTGAGTGATGTTAGATTGTAAAGGAGGTAAATGAGACACGTTTTTACTGAAGATGTGATAAGATTAAGGGATAGTAAGAAAGGGGTTGAAAATATAGACAAGGGGTGGTGTAGAAGTCATCAGTCGGTTATGTCCTAATATTCCAATAAGGGAGGGATAATGGCTGTACGAACTTCTCTTGAGTGCATAGTTTAGGTTTATTAGTTCGAATGCCTATCGCCTCAGCTGTGTGCAGTAGACAAATACAAAGTCTATTGAAAAGATTCGGTGGGATACGATGAATTATTTTGAAAGCGCCCGTTTTCTCGACTACATGACCACTATCAATTAATATAAGTATAAAACTTGGGCACTGTGGTAGAGTATAATTCCATTATAGATAAGATTTTATTTTGATAAATCGCACAGTGTTTACAGTTATATGAACTGATGACGTTTCGAGCACAAACTATTGCTCATAATCATATCAAGTTGATTATGATATGATTATGAGCAATAGTTTGTGCTCGAAACGTCATCAGTTCATATAACTGTAGGCACTATCAATTAAGTGTGACAAAATTGAGCTACGGATTGTTTTTGTCTGTCCTTTGTCAAACCACGATGGGAGATGTTCAGTAACACCTTGGCTAAGCTGTCTAGTAGTAGTGTGGCCAACATAACTGTCACCGCAGGTGCAGTTGAATTGATAAATGCACATAGATGTGGCAAAACTATCTAGCTTATCCTTCGTTTTCGTCCCAATCATTCGTCGGCTAGAGGATAACAAACATAGGTATGCTGCGTAAAACGTTCTCCGTATACTCTTGGAAGGTCTCTGGAACAAAATCTCACTTGATAAGTCACCATTAAATTGTAACTTAATAAATAGAGCCTTTTTACGTATAGTTATAGTCTCAGGTTTTCTCGCTGATATTTCCATATGTTTCTTTATGAAACTACTCGGATGGCCCATCTCCGTCACGGAATCGTGAATACATTCAAATTCCTTTTGTAAGAGCTCATCCGTACATATCCTTCTCGCTCTGCCCATAAGACCTTTAACAACATTTCTTTTATATTTAATGGGCACGTAACTGGAAGGAAGTGTGTATATTGCCCTGTGAGTGTGCTTTTTCTATACACTCTTCTCCCAAGTGACCCATCTTCTCGCCTACTTAGTAAGACACCCAGAAAATGTAGTTTATTCTCCTGCTCCTCTTCACAAGTAAAGATAAGCGAAGAGTAGACGTTGTTGAATTTCAGCGACTAATTCGTCCATGTTAACATTCCCATCAGCCAAGATAAATGTATCATCGACATAGTAATACATATCAAACTCCTTGATGATATCGTTCAATTTCCCGTTTTCAAGTTTTGCGAGAAAGAAGTCAGCTAACATTGGGCCTAATGGTGAACCCACAGCTATTCCATCTAATTGTCGGTAGTGTGAATTATTGAAGACAAAGTGAACATTCATTGTGCATTTGAGAAGTAATTCTTTGAGGTTAAACAAGGGGATTTTTAAGTCTAATTGTCTTTCGGTGATTTCTTGACAAATGTAATCTGTCTGTCTCCATAACCGGTACATTAGTGAATAGTGGTGATACATCCATGGATAACATACGTTTATACCTCACATTATTCTCGGATATTTTTGAAATAAAGTTGAAGACATCACTAATTCCATGTGTTGTACGATTTCTCTGTGCAACTTTATCCTTTCTGCCGGTGATTTGAATTTCAAATATCAATCGCCTGGTTTACTAGCTTGTCATAATTTCAGAGAAAGAGGCGAAGGCTAGGCGTGCGACCAGCGACCCTATCGTGCAAAATCAATAACCGCACAGAGAAAAAGTATTTTTTTGTTTTAAACAAAAATAATGCTATAATTGATTTTCTAATTTTTCATATTTCTTATCTTTTACAAGGGACTCCCTGTAAGAAAACAATTTATCCGTGCATTGTCCCATATGAATGCATATATTATCCGCATCCTTAGTCCAGATTCCTGTGAAATGACATATGTTACACATTGTGATCCTCGTGGTAAGTTTTATATGCCCTTTAGTTACTATCAATGTATGTATATGTGTGTGCGTTTTGTATCTTGTTTCCCTACATATTAACATACGATCTGAGGTTTTGCTTCTTATGTGATTTATGTCATTTCATATATAGTACTTGTAGGTTCGAATAATACCAGAGTTATTGCATGTTAATACTCAGTTTATAGTTAAACTTTAGTTTAGTTCGGATTTCCACCACTAGGCTTCTGTTTTGCTGTATATGTGGGTGCTTTGTATCGAGTATGCAATTAGGATAAGTGGATCGGCAGACTGGTTTCAACGTAGAACTTTGCATAGATGTGCAACAATTCATCTTGTCACACACACACTGTCTCTCTCCATGTAGCAAACCAACCAAGAGAACAGAGTACAGCGAGATTCAAAAGACAGATGAGAAACAGAAATATATGAGATAAAAAAATAGTAATATGGAAGAACAATCGAATTTTATTGGATATGGCAAATCACAAACAATTGTCTCCAGCCTTCGTTGGTTTTTACCATCCCCCGAGGACCCAAACCGGTCAGTCAGTCAGTCTACACCTCCCTAAGTGGTGTGAACTAACTCTCATAGATTTCATTGACTGATGTAGCCAAGTTTTGGTTTGATCATCGCTAGCTACCTCTTTTTCAACCTGATCTATCGTATGTCAGCTTACATTCTCCATCGACGAAGGCGATCAGGTGCTAAGCATGCACGCTTAACAAATGTCCTCACCATCTCAATCAATACAGCTGCTTCACAATCTCATCGATTGATTTCCCCTCCCTTCTCACCGAACGCATTCGACCGAATCCTAACCGCCATATTTCTCACCTTATTATACCACTTAACACGAGACATAGAAAGTAGACATCTATGATCAAAGACAGCTAGCCAGGCTTTTCATGTCTTTCACCTACAATGACCATATCTCACTTACAGCCGACCATAAAGGAGGACAGAGCGAACTGGTGCTGTGTAGTACACACGTTCTTTGGTTGAAAGGTAGCCGGATATGACATGTGCTAAGTCAGAGATGGCGTAAATTGGCAGGCATATGCCAAACGAGCCCTCTGTTTTCTTGCTGAGGTTTCGTCGGAGATCAACCCACTGGCGTTGGCTGATGCAACTCCTCAAATAAGTGATCAAGCAGTCAGCTGGCTCAGACGCCGCTTCAGTCCCTATCTTTAAGTTAGGAATGAGTCGATGTAGTCCAGTCCTGTAGCTTCATCTTACATTTAACAGAGATAGCATTTTATCAGTGTCTTCACCCAGGAGGGGGAACTATACCGTCTGCATATTCTAAGTCAACGAGATAATTCCTTGGTGGCAACAAGTCAATCTTTGAGTCATTGAATTCAGTTAGGTTCAAGTCCATTAGTACACTGGTATGAAAACAAAATCTCCCTTATCCTCCACCTCCTCCTCTAGGGAAACTGTTCACATCTATTGATTCAGTACTGCTCATCAGTCCGCTCCGTCCTCCTTTATGGCCGTGAGACCTGGCCATTGAGATTGGAAGACATGAAAAGATAAACTGTCTTTGATCATAGGTGCCTGGGCTGCATCTCCCGTTTGAAGTGGTATAATAACGTGAGCAATATTGTGTTTAGGATTCGGTCGAGTGTTAGGTAAGGAGGGGAAATCAATCGAGGAGGCTGTGAAATTACATCGACTGAGATGGTTAGGACATGTGTTACGTATGCCTAACCATCGATCGCCTTCCTCGACGGGCAGTGTTAGCTGACATAGGATTAGTCAGGCTAGTAAAGAGCTAGCGGCGGTCAAACCAAAACATGGTCAATGAAATCTACAACAGTTAGTCTAAGTTACGTAGGAAGGTGTAAACTTCCTGACTGGTTGGGGTCCTCGGGACGGTAAATACCAATGGAGGTTGGAGACAATTGGTGATATGGCTCAAAATCGTTTTCAATGGCTGGTGCAGATGCATCCACTCCTTGTGACTTATGATTTCCAATGAAACTATATTGTTCTTCTACCTTTTCTTGATTTGTGTGGTACATGGAGTGTGGCAACTCAAACTGCCGCACATCGGTGCAAAGTTCTATGTCGAAAACAAACAGATAGATTGAGTAATTGGTGGTCTATATTTGCATTTACTCTTCCGTATCTTTTGGAAAATAAACAATGCACGTAGATCTTGCTATCTACAAATTAACGTGGCTAAACTTCACATATACCTCTACTTAACCTAATCCCCTGTATAGTTTGTGTACTTCCTTATAACATTTATTCCATTAGAAAGCATGTGTTTACATTTTGTTTATATATATATATATATTTCTAAGAACTGCCTATGCAATGCAGTGAAAGATAAAAAAATACATACTTCACGAGATTTAATGATTATAAATAGAAGGTGTAAGGACAACTTTAAGTCATGTTTAGCAATGATTATTTTTTTTCACCATGGATTGTATTATTATTATTATTACATTTAATTCCTAGAGGAACATAGGGCTTCAGCCGCGCATCCCCATTGCATTCGGTTCTCTGCTAGAGTTTTCGCATGGCTCCAAGTCTGTCCACATGCTTTCATCTCCTTTTCATATGACCTCCTCCAAGTCACCCTTACGGTGACGACCAGCTTGCCGCTTCCCTTTCGGGTTCCACTTGAGCATTGGCTTGTCAGATGATGTCACTTGATGGTTTCCTCAGAGGATAGCCAATCAATTTCTTCCTGCTTATTTGTTGCACAATCGGTTCCTGGTTGGTTCACTCATTGTCAGAGATCCCTTTTGGAGATCTTTTCTGGCCGGCCATCTGATCTTCAGTATTCAGCGAAGACAACTGTTATTGAAGGTCTGTAGCTTGTTTGAGATGCTCTTTATGACGCTCAGTGCAAGCACTGACTTCACATTGGAGTTGAAAATCCGGATCTTATTTTTGATGGTGAGTGCTGTTGACCTCCACACAGACTTAAGAGTAATGAAAGCTTGTCTTGCTCTCCCGATTCTTGCTTTGATATCCTCGTCAGTTCCGCCTGTAGTCGAAACGATGTTTCCCAGGTAGGTGGGTAGGTAAAAGAGGTTGTTTCTTTCAGGTTCCTCCCATTTATGCTAATTGTTGTCTATTGTTGTTGCTGTTGTTGATGGCCAGGAATCTTCACCACCTCTGTTTTCTTTATGTTCACCTGAAGTCCTTTCTTTGATGAGCCTAACCAGTAGTAAGCTCAAAGAAGAAGGAAAATTGGGAGTTAAGCTAGCAACCAATCCCATACCTTTGAAACAACATTACCGCTGCTGAAACTTCAAAATTTTTTGTGTTCCACTTGGAACTCAGTAGCTGGTATTATATGGTTAGAGGCAATCGGTCGCAGGAAGCCCTGTCTAACCTAGCGTTCACTCTAACAAGCACTCACCAGTCAAGTCAGTCAACAAGGTGTATCTGCAACCTTGAAGGAACTCATCTCTCTCCTTCTGAGATTCGAACCTGCGTCACCTAGTTAGTGCTACAGTCAGAAGCGATACCAATGAGCTATTCCGTCTGGGTCGCTATTGACCTCCTGTAGGACAGTACTGGAACTCATTAGGTGCTTGAGTAAGTCAACGGTGTCACTGGATATTTAGCTTTTTAGCACAGACAGTGGACTTTCAGTCAACAAGTCCTAGGCTTCAATCCCGCCCTGCCTATTTCAACCATTCAATCGTCATACAATAAGTGTGGCTCACAGTTTGGTGAGTCCATTCCAGGGAAATAAATTCTTTTGCTTACCTATCAGTATGTGACGTTCTCTCTTGGTGTTTCACTACTAGTAAGCTAGTTTCAGGATTTTTGAAATGTTCTCATTATTGATTACCTAGGCTGGAGACAATTGGTGATATGGCTCAAAATCGTTTTCAATGGCTGGTGCAGATGCATCCACTCCTTGTGACTTATGATTTCCAATGAAACTATATTGTTCTTCGTTATTACTATTCCTTTGTCTCCTACCTCTGTTTACTATCTTTATTATGCATTTCTTCTACTTTCTTCTGTTGCTTTGTGTGCTACAAGGAGGGAGTGTGGCGATTTGAACTGGTGCACATATGTGCAAAGTTCTATGTCGAAAACAGACAAACAAATTTCAGAGGAAAGAGAAAAATAAGGCAAAGGAACCAGGGTGATCAGAGGTGTACATAGGAAAACCTGTGGACTTAATAAATCTAGAAGTTAGTTCGCAAATAGGTGAGTGTATCTGCACCACTGACTACAATTTTTAGCCATAGCAAAAATTGTCATGTCATTAATTTTTTAGAGTCTCTCGAAGACCTCAACCACCAGCCAGTCGACACTATTCTATATGGCTAAAGTAAACAGTCAAAGAATTCATCTATTCCATGCTGTGTTTTGGTCCAACCACTCCTACCTCTTTTCTAACCTAATCCTGTGTGAGGTAAGATTGCTTGTCGAGAAATGCAGTGACTACTAGACTGTGTCACACGTGTCCTAGCCATATCAGTCGATGTAGCTTAAAAGCCCATCTTTTGAGTTTTTCCGCCCTACCTTATACTAGGTTTAACCTCATTATTATTATTTTTTATTTCTTTACGTTTCCGATGGAATATAGGGCTTCGAGCTAGAGGCCTAAAGTTCTTATAGAAGTGGTGTTTATTTTTACGGGATATGGTTGCTAGCCTCATGCTCCACAACCTTCCCTCTTTATCAGTCTTATTACTGGCTTAGAGAGTTAAACGAGTGCGTCGGTAACCGGGGGTCGAACCCTTGACCACTGTACCACTGACGCGCTAACCTCATTAATGCTGACTGTATAATACCACTCGACATGGGAGAAAGGACTCAAATGTCTGTGGTCAAATACACCAAGTCTTTTCATATCTTCCAGTTTCTAAGGCTGTGACTCACAGACACAAAGACCGACAAGCCGAACTGATGCACAGTATACATGTTGTTTGATAGATATTTAGACATCACGTCTACATCAGGTTACTTGGACTCACACAGCCATGCAAGAGCTCATGGAGAGTTGCCATCTG